CCGCCTCGACATTGTCGGTCGAGCCACCGGCGAGAAAAACGAACCTTTTCTATCAGGGTGTCGCGCGCGCACACGAGGCCGGCTCGTGCGTGAGCTGGGTGATCGGATGGACGGGCTGGCTGGCGCGCTGGCAACTGGCTCGGGCTACGAGGCAGATAGACCCGCCTGTGCCGGTAGTAGTAACACCACGCCGATTTACAATGTAGTAGTGGCCTTCTACCAATGCCTCGATACGTTCTTGAACGCGTCCCTGTCACGGTGGTGGTGCGTGCTTAGCCGCTTGTCATGTGCGGTGTGTTCGTTCGTGGACGCGTGCCGGCCATCTGCCGGTCGCGCACCGCAGTCGGCTACGCGCGCCAAAACCGTCACTTCGCTTTTCTCCGTAAAACCAACGCGCCGCCAGGCTATCCGAAAAAGTTCCTAGACCTTTTTATCCAGATCTTCTGGCCCGTTCTTTCGTTACTTTCAACAATTTGCTTCTACGATCACAGCTTCCCGGATATTCGACACTGCTGTTTGTTTATGTTTCTCAGACTTTGCCCAGGACTTACCGGCAACGCAGACTTCCCTAGGGATACGCGCAGGGGAAAAAACGACAGGTTAGGTCGTTTTTTTTTTGTTGGGGAATTTTGGAATTTGAGATTTTCAGAATTTAGGCATCTGGAAAATTTGGGGACTTGAAATGGTAAGAATTTGAGAAATTGAAAATTTGCAAACTGACAGTTTAAGAATTTCAGGGTTCAAGAATTTTGGGATTCAAAAATATGAAAATTCAGGATTTTGAAAATATAGAAATTCTAAAATCTAGAAGTTTTAAGATCTAAAAGTAATGGTATGAAAATCTGAGAAATGTGGAAATTTAGAAATATAGCAGTTTGTTGATTTAGAAAGTTAGGAATTTGAAAACTTGACAATCTCAAATATTGAGGATAGTGGAAAATAAAAATTTTTAAATTCAGCCCCTTAGAAGCTTGCAAATAAAAAAATTAACAAATTTCTGAGTTTACACATATAACCCTCTAATACTGGAAAGCAAACGTTGAGTGAACTGTTGAATTTTTCTCTTTGTTCCAAGGAAGCCTACGTTGCACCCCGAAGTACCGTTCCACGTGTCGTCACGTTGGTTTAAAGGAAAACGACGAAAGAAAAACAGATGATGGACCATTTCCATTCGTGGACATTACTCAACAAACACTCGCGCCAAAACTGTCCGTCCCGCTTTGCACGTAACTGCCACGCAAGCTCTGACATGTAGATGAAAAATCCCTATGCGTCTTTTCTAACGGACGTTCTTATCCGTAGTATCACTTATCCGTTTCTGACATCTCGAAACATTGTTGCCTATTAATTTCTTAAATTATTACCGTACAATTCCGCCATGGTCAGGGGTGGGCGCTTTCGTATGAACGTCCACGCTTGATGTTGGCAGTGAGTCCCTTTAACCTGGGCCTTATCAAGGAAAGGGGCAAGGAAGAAACAAACGGGAAACGCACTACCGGATTATGTAATTTCTGAAACCTTTCGATTCTCTTTTCTCGAACGCACACACTTCCGAAGATTGGGAGGATCCCACTGGCTGTCGTTTCTTGCCCGAAACTAAGCGGGCGGTCGTGGCTTCCTTCGTTATGGAGGGGTGTTTGAAGCAGGGCCGTACTCTTCGCGTGAAGTATAAAAGTAGGTCCCTCGCTCGTCCTCCTTTCGTTTCACACATTCTCGTTTTGTTATTCAAAACCCGCGTTTCAACTTGTCTTTCTAATTCCTTATTATTCAAGCTTTGTTAATTGGTAATGTGCCATGGGATTTTTATTATATGCATACAAAAATACATGTTTAATTTTTACATTTGTGAAGTACTGTAGTTCTAACAAAATCTGGAAATATTTACAGATAATATTTAAAAAATCTTGATATTTACAGGTGGTTAAGCATTTGTATAATAGGGTGACTTTTTCATAGTAAACTGACTGCAGACAAAAATCTAACAATATGTATATACATCTGAATTTAGCCAAGAAAAGTTTACTTGACCTGATAAGTTAATTTCAATTACAGTAATTACAGTAAATTAATTGAATTACAGTAACGTTTTGCTAAAAATATAAAACATTTTAAAAGCTTTTTACTTAATAATTTTTCACAACTTTTAGAACATTATTTTGTGCCATTTTTGTAAACAAACTATATCTGCTTTTGTTTATAAATGTATTGTCAATAAACCAGTTACGTTTTTCCAATAAAACATGATGTAACGTTTAAGCAAGTCTTTGTACTACGAAAATAAATCATCCTACAAGTGTGAGGGTTCCACGAGTCGTTGACACGAGTCTGAGTCAGGTCGCCAAGAAGGGAGCCCGGTGTTTTCTTCGTAACGTACTTATTTGAACCCTACGCATTCGAACTACAAAAAGATCGTACCCCAGTAGGGCGTAAGGGAGGTGTACCTTCCCTTCTTGCTCCTGTATGCGTTCGTCCCCACTTTCGTTAACTTAAAGCCATTCTCAAGGGCGCGTCAAGGAATCAAACGAACGGGGCCCAAAACTGACTATATGTCAACGATCACGAAAATTTCCGGACGTTCCGTTTTTGGAGGTTCGTGGATCTGCATGGCCGAGTACGTGATCGCTTTTACTTCGGCGTTCTGCGAATGTTTGCCTATCGTGAATTCTTCTCCTAACGCTCTTGCGGTGATCTTGAAGTTCTCGCGGTCGAAATTAGTGATCTTCACTTTCTGATAACACAAAGTCATCTTTGCAATTTTTTATGGAATTACAGAAAAGCGAGGAAACTTAACAACTTGAACGCGTTTTGCCTCACAATGAACACTTGTTGCTTTTCAAAATATAATTAAAATTATTTCAAAACTTGGCTCTGAGTTGTGATAATTAAAATTATTTCAAAACTTGGTTCTAGGTTTGAAGAATCTTAATTACATTTTGAAGTATAATAATGATTTTTCTATCTTGATAGATGCTTTGATCAAGAGTCATGAATAGTAAATTAATTTATAACAAGCTGATTATTCTGATGGTATTCATAGACTTTTGTTTTATACGTCTTCAAGGATTTAATTGAATAATGTTGACAAGAGATGCAGCAATGATAACCTTGACAGTGTATTTCAAGGTTAACGTACTGAGTTTTTTATTGTCAATATTTACATTTGTATGAATTGTCATCAAGTTTTCTACTGTTAGATTAAGTACAAATCTTTGTGTATTTATGACATTTTAATTAATAGACCAATAACTCAGATCTCTTGAAAGTTATTTAGAATAACCTTGACAAAGTTCAAGGTGAGTAAATAACTGAAATCTAAAATAACCCATTATATATTAGTCATATCAAAAGCAAAACAATTTAATTACTTATTAAACAAAATATATAAGGAGCCTTCTGAAGCGTATACAACTTCACTTTTTTATATTTGTTTTTCGCAAAATATATTGAACTTAAATGTACCTTTTAATTTGCAGTTCAAGGTCAACAGAATATCAACTTATTATAGGTCGTTGAATTCATCATTTCATGAACTATAACATGACATTAGAAAAAAGATATACTGACCTTGAAAAAACTCAGGGTCACCTTGATATCTTAGACAAAATACAGCACAAAAAAATGAAACTACCTCCATCAGATAGGGCCTTCAAAATGAAATATAATTTGCTGGAAACATTTGCTGATACAACCAATAAATAATAAGTTATTTCAGATAGTAGTTCTTAATGACTCATCCCATATTTCAAGGTATTAAAATTGCTCATCCTTTTATCAACATTTACCAAGTATTATTCATTACTATACAGGTAAAAACATTTTCAAAAATCGAGTAACTAGTTCAAGCATGTCTCAAACATGGACGTCAACGAATCGCCGCGATAAAAAGAAATATACCTTAGCAACGATAAACGGTTCAGCGCTGAACATGAACAATAATTCATCAAGGAAATGAAAGAGCAGGCTCTCCATGTCGTGTCCTTCGGCCTCCACTTCTTGCACCTGCGTTATCTGAACCCGCTCTAAATCCGTCATGTACCCGAACATGGCCACTGCACATTGTTCAAAAGCTTCCTCCATATTATCACCCCATGCGTGTAATCTACAATAACCGATACACAACTAATTAACCACATAAAACTAATTCCAAACCTTGTCAACTCTCTTCGTGAAATTGTTAGGTTAACCACGCGGTAACCTCCAAAATACTTCGATGATACGAAAGATTAATAAAGCGAATACTCACTGCACATCGGCGGTGTGATCCAAATCTGAAAAATAAAATTTTTGAAAGTGTCGTTATTTATTTCTCGATGAAATACGAGGAGAAAGGTTTATACTGTTAGCGTTTCACATGTGGCAAAATGGACGCCGGTACGATGGCGCGCCGGCCGCCGGTTATATCGTTTTAAACAGGTTAAAGTGTCTTTTATCGAACGCGGCGCTTTGTTGCGTGAGTGGTGCAGTAAATGTACTTACATTCGTATTTAACGGGAGGTATTACAAAATCTTCTTCATTCAACGCGTCCATGATTGCGCACAGCTGATCTAGCGTACGTGAATAACTGATCAGCTGATTCACTGACAGGTTTTATCAATGGTGGACCAGCGGTACCTGCGGGAAATTCTACTACGAAGATGGCGCTACGTACAGGGCCGCACGAGGACTTTATTATCGACGGAGTAATAGTTCGAAGTAGTTTTTAGTATATTGTACTGCTCGATAATATTAACAATTAATATTTTAATTAATTTCAAGCGCTATGAATAATAAATTTTATTGACTATAATAGTAGAGTATTGTTGATTAATTAATATGCGAGTGCTTATGAGTAGTGATGGGTAGTTTCGTAATTTGAAAAATTGACAATTTATATAAATTTTGAGATTAATAGATTAATGTGTTAAAATATATAAGTTTAAGTGTTACGTAAGCGTAAAACGAGAAAGGGGCCACTGTTTATGAATTACTATGCAAGAGTTCGAATTTGTGTCATTTGCGCGCATTAGTTTCCATGATAGCGGCAATCACCGTTCGGTGAGCGGTGGACCGCATAAATAGCCTGTAAATGCTAACCAAGAGACCTAAATATTTTTCTTCTGAATAAATCCGAGATGCAGTTGGCATATTTACCGAAAACGCCGGGGAAAGGTGTAGCTTACCATAATTCTATTCTTTTGTAGTACAAATGATGTTAAATTCTTTTTGGATTTTTGGATTTTTAGATTTTTGGATTTCTAGGTTACAAGTTTAGTAAATTGGTACATTTCTAAGTCACTAAATTTCTAGATTACTAAATTCCTAGATTTTTATATTATTAGATTTCTAGATTTCTAGATTACTAGATTACTAGATTACTAGATTACTAGATTACTAGATTACTAGATTAATAGATTACTAGATTACTAGATTAATAGATTACTAGATTACATGATTACATGATTACTAGATTACTAGGTTACTAGATTACTAGGTTACTAGATTACTAGATTCCTAGATCACTAAATTCCTAGGTCCCCAAATTTCTAGATTTCTGGATTTTTAAATTCTTAGATTACTAGATTACTAGATTACTAGATTATTAGATTACTAGATTACTAGATTATTAGATCACTAAATTCCTAGATCACTAGATTACTAGATTCCTAGATTTCTACATTCTCAAATCCCTAGATTCTTAGATTCCCATATCCCTACATCACTAAATTCTTAAATTTCTAAATTTTAAGACTTCTGAATTCCCAAATTTCTATATATCTAGATTTCTACATTCTTAAATCCCTAGATCTCCAAATTCCTATCCCCTTCAAATCCCTATATCCCTAGGGATTTTCTAGGTTCCTATATCCCAATATCCCTAGGGATTTTCTAGGTTCCTATATCCCAATATCCCTAGGTTCTCCATATACCTATATTTCTTTAATTCTATAAGTATCTCTACATCCCCAAATCTTTGTAACCCTATAAGTATCCCTACATCTCCAAATCTCAATAAACCTATATCCCCACATCCCCAAATCTCAATAACCCTATATCTCTATATCCCTAAATCTCAATAATCCCATATCCCTACATCCCCAAATCTCAAAAATCCCATATCCCTACATCCCCAAATCTGAAAAATCCCATATCCCCACATCCCCAAGTCCCAATAATCCCATATCCCTAAATCCCCAAATCTGAAAAATCCCATATCCCTATATCCCCAAATCTCAATAACCCTATATCCCTATATCTCCAAATCTCAACAATCCCATATCCCCATATCCCCAAATCTCAAAAATCCCATATCCCTACATCCCCAAATCTCAAAAATCCCATATCCCCACATCCCCAAATCTGAAAAATCCCATATCCCTACATCCCCAAATCTCAAAAATCCCATATCCCCACATCCCCAAGTCCCAATAATCCCATATCCCTAAATCCCCAAATCTGAAAAATCCCGTATCCCTATATCCCCAAATCTCAATAACCCTATATCCCTATATCTCCAAATCCCAATAATCCCATATCCCTAAATCCCCAAATCTCAAAAATCCCATATCCCTATATCCCCAAATCTCAATAGCCCTATATCCCTATATCTCCAAGTCCCAATAATCCCATATCCCTAAATCCCCAAAACTCAAAAATCCCATATCCCTATATCCCCAAATCTCAATAACCCCATATCCCCACATCCCCAAATCCCAATAATCCTACAACCCTACATCCCTAATCAACCTCCCCAAGTCCCTAGTAAATCCCTAGTAAATATAACCTAACAACGAACTATCATCCAATTAACCGCACACATCAACTACAAAGAACATTAAAGAACGCACATTTCGAAGGAACGCATCGGTGCATAATTTCCATTCGTAACAAGCGTCACCAAGGCGTTTCGTACATACGATCGATTAACTGTGTCGATCGAACAAACGAGCGAGAGCACGACCGATCAAGCATGCACGTTACTTAAGCGAGTACACAAGTACCGGCATATATAGGCGAGTATACGCGGTACGGTTTCGTTGGACGTTTTTCTTTGTCATACGTCTCCCCTTCTGAAAACTAGTTTCTCATATCGATGCGATGTGATCCAAGGGCGTCCACTTCGAACGTTCGTAATGGCTGTTACATAAAATTGCGTAGACGGTACCGTACCATAGTATGTAGATCCATCGGGACATCTCGTCATCTGTTTACAGTATCGATTTCTCGACTGCAACCAGTCGGGGTGGATTGGTATTTACCAAGGTCACAAGGTCAGGGATGCCCACTTACGCACACGTGAGACACGCACGGTGGATCATCTTGCACTCGCTCTTTTCGTGTTTTAGTTAACTCTTTCTTGCTTTGGTCGATTTTTGGAGGTATTTTTAACGCGGTAGCTGTGATAGGATATGTAGTTAGGTGGTTTAGTTACGTTCCTCATGTGTACGTGAGGATGTTGGAAATAGGGGTGAAAAGAGGGGTGGAGGAATTTAAATTAATAGTAGAGTAGAGTATAATATTAGTAGATGTTTTAATTTGTAGTTTAAGTTCAAGTAGTTTTTGGTTAAGTAATTAAAGTTTTAATTTGATTCATTAAAACGTGATATGTGGAGGACTCAAGTTTTAATTTTTAATATGAATATATTATGAATATATTAATTTAATATGAATATGTTAATTAATATAATTATAGAATATGTAGTACAGTTAATTAGTTATGTAAAATGAGATGATTTGATTGATAAATAAATTTTATTGTAACATAATTAAATTATGAAATCAAATTTTGAGTGTTGTTTAATACTTGATAAGATTTAATTGAAGATCGAGAGTTAATTGTTAATCGACAAAGCTCTCAAATCAATTGTAATCTACAATCAATTTGTAATCTATATAAGACAAGTTTAACAGAATAATTGAGTTCTAATTTTCAATTAATTATAATTTTTTAATTTTCAGGTAGAATTTTCAATTAATTTTAATTTTTTAATTTTCAATTAAACCGTCTAATTAATAGTAACAATTTATTTTTTAGATTTTATTTTATTTATTTTCTGAGGAGATGTGAATCAGGTGTTAATCGATGATTAGCTAATTTAAATTGCAAATTCAGTTGTGTGAAATAAGTCTAATATAAAGATATCAAGTTTAATGGAGGTTACTGATCTGCTCGAACATTGGTATCGATAACAGTATCGAGTATCGTAAATTATACTCGTGTTACAGATTCGATTAATTGAGTCTAATCCTGTCATTAAGTGAATACCTGAATTTGAAAGTATGTTCACTGCAGTTATCTTTGCATTATCAGATATGGATCGGATGAATCAATCATTTTTATTGAAATCTTTCAACACAGTTTTGTAAATTTACTTTGCAGATCTTTCAACACAATTTTGTAAATTTACTTTGTAGATCTTTCAACACAATTTTGTAAATTTACTTTGCAGATATTTCAACACAGTTTTGTAAATATACTTTGTAAATCTCTCAACACAATTTTGTAAATTTACTTTGTAGGAGCAGATTCATTAAATAAAATTTTAATAACATTTAGTAATGAATTTTATTAAATTTTTTAAGGGAAAAGGGACACAATTTTATTATTTTAAAATGATCTTGTTACAATTATTTAAATTATTATATAATATATGATAAAATGTACAACAAAAATTATTGTAATATTCATTTTTTATTATTAACTGAAACATACCATTTTTGTTAATTATTCAAAAAGTTTACAATATGATAGACTATTTTCCACAGTTTCATCTGTTAATTTGAAACAAAACAACACATATAACAATTTAATAAATTACAAAATTGCATACTATTAATTACTAGGAAGAAAAGCCCCGATCATTAAATTTCAACAAAAATTATTGCTTCTCACGTAATTATCAATCAACCAGACGTGTCTGCAATTACTTCCAAGTGTGTAATAACATATTTTCCATATTTCGAAGATGAGATTGTCTTTCTATCAGTTTTATGAATTTTCCTATTTTAATAATGTATCGTCTGTTTTTTACCATAACCTCAAACGTTAACAAAACCTCAAAATTATTGTATTTTATTATAATTTAATTGTAAGGCGTGTTTAATTGTATTGCATATTGTATCTAGCATTTACATTAACAGTAAATTTACTTCAATTTAAGATTTAACATTTACTTTATTTACTAAAATTATTTGCTACGAAGATTTGTTAAGAAGATTAGAAGATTTGTGTATGAAAAAGTGGTTGGTTTAAATATCTCTCCAAAACGAAACAAACAGTGTTACGTAGTTGCATTTACCTATTGATCAACCTTTATTCTTTTTAATCTCATTGTCATGATTGCTAGTTCCCTCCATTGCATAATAATACCGAGAATACACAATTTTTAATTCCGTATCTCGAGTTCTCTGACATCTAATTACCCCCGAGCGATTCCGCTGGAAACATTATCACATCTTCAATGTACGCAGAATTTTTACAAACGACGTTGAATGAATTTCAGAAATTCTTGCGTTGTCATGTCGATTCAGGGGTTTAGGTTTTTGGGAATTTAGGAATTTAGGAATTTAGAAATTTTAGAATTTGGGGTTTTGGAAATTTGGGACTTTGGGGTTCTGGAAATTTAGGGATTTGGGGATTTAGGGAATTGGGAGTTTAGGTTTTTGGGAATTTAGAAATTTAGTGGTTTGAGAATTTAGAAATTTAGAAATTTGCAGTTTTGGAATTTTTAGGGTTTTGGGAATTCATGGATTCAGGGGTTTAGGTTTTTGGGAATTTAGGAATTTAGGAATTTAGGAATTTTAGAATTTGGGGTTTTGGAAATTTGGGACTTTGGGGTTCTGGAAATTTAGGGATTTGGGGATTTAGGGAATTGGGAGTTTAGGTTTTTGGGAATTTAGAAATTTAGTGGTTTGAGAATTTAGAAATTAGGAAATTTGCAGTTTTGGAATTTTTAGGGTTTTGTGAATTTAGGACTTTGGGGTTTTGGAAATTTAGGGATTTGGGGGTTTAGAGAATGGGGGGTTTAGGTTTTAGGGAATTTAGGAATTTAATGATTTGAGAATTTAGAAATTAGGAAATTTGCAGTTTTTGAATTTTTAGGGTTTTGTGAATTTAGGAATTTGGGGGTTCAGGTTTTTAGAAATTTAAGAATCTGATGGTTTGGAAAGTTAGATATTTGGAAATTTACTACTTTGGGAATTTTTGAGATTTTGAAGGGTTAGGCATTTTGGGTAGAATTTTGCAAGGTTAAGCATTTTGGGAAAACTTAATGTGATTGAGCATTGGGGTTTATTCATTTGGGGGTTGATTCTTTGGAAATTTATAGATTTGCAAGTTCAAGTGTTTGGAAATTTAGGATCTTAAAATTGTCGTGTTTTGAGATTTTCATAATCTATAACAATAATGAAAAATTGAAGTATAACAATAATAAAAAATTGAACAGTACAATATAATTTATTTTTGAGAATGTACTTCAACTTTAAGGAAGGGGGTTGAAAAGAATCATCCATCCAAATACAAGGTCCTCACCTAAAATCGAGGACTATTGCTAAAAAACAGAATTCCATAGAAAAATAACGCGATAGAAGGTAAACAAGCGTGGAAATTATTCCAATGGCGGTTCTGAGAACGCCTCTACACGGATCGACGATCGCGAGAGGAAAGCAAAGCGAGTCATCGAGGCCGGGATGCCGATGCAGTGACAGAAAACTTGAACACTCAGCCTCCTCCTTTAAACGATCTGTTTATTGTAACAAAAGAACATCGTGCAACACTTGATACTGAGAACTCGTAATTGTTTCAAGCTTTTTTTACCCCTTTTATGATCATTAGGTACTTCATTACTTAATTACATTGTTTAAATATCGTAATTTACAGTCATTGAATCATACTTTCTCTTTGAGGAAGATCGTATGCTATTTGTGATCGTTATGGTATTTGTTTATTGTATTAGGGTTATTTGGACGTTTTATTTATTTTACTGATAATTTCTGATGTTAATTTTCTTTTTTAGTGATGTTAGTTTCTTCTTTAATTTTTGGTAATTACTTTTTTATTAATTTTTTGTTGATAGAAGATACTTTTATTTTTAGGAGGACATTTTCAGGTTGACATTTTTAGAAAGACATTTTTGGTTAAATATTTGGTATTTTTATTGAATTATTTGTAAGAATTATTTGTGGTAGTTTTATTTAATTATTGGCAAGAATTATTTGTGATTTTTTTTATTTAATTACTTGCAAGAATTATTTGTGATTTTTTTATTCAATTATTTGCAAGAATTATTTGTGATTTTTTTTATTTAATTATTTGCAAGAATTATTTGTGATATTTTTATTCAATTATTTGCAAGAATTATTTGTGATATTTTTATTTAATTATTTGCAAGAATTATTTGTGATTTTTTTTATTTAATTACTTGCAAGAATTATTGTGATATTTTTATTCAATTATTTGCAAGAATTATTTGTGATTTTTTTATTTAATTATTTGCAAGAATTATTTGTGATATTTTTATTTAATTACTTGCAAGAATTATTTGTAATATTTTTATTCAATTATTTGCAAGAATTATTTGTGATATTTTTATTGAAATATTTGCAAAATTGTTTGCAATATTTTTATGTGTCCAATTTTACCATCTCAAGCTGATACCTCATTCACAGCAAATTTGCTGTAAAATTTACTACTAAATTTACTTAAAAAATAAATAAAAATTTACTTGATACCTTATAGACTATTGGTAAATACATTCATCATAGTATTTGATAAATTTGACAAATAATCGAGATTCGAAGAATATGAAATTTTCAAATATTTCCATATATTTCTACCTTGCACCCCTTCCTCATAAATAACGTAAGTCCAACCTCATAAATAACCCTACCATCAAATTTTTGTATACTAATCTCACATTTCACATTGCATCCCCACCTAAACATCTACCCCACTAAAATTTCCTAACCTCCCAAATATTTTCCTACCAATCACAATTTTTCCTAAATAAGGGATGAAACTGCACACATCAAATAAACTAATTCCCCTGTCCATATGTATGTTTCTACTAAAAAATGAAAAGTAAATAGATCCTCTAAAGTTTGAAGGGTAAAAATTTCGCGTGACAAGAAATTAGAATAGCAGGGTTAACAACGAAGGAGGTTGTCGAACAGCAGCTGGTGCAACGGGGCGACATGCTGCTTAGTGATTCTCGCCTCTCACGTGTTGGCGCGCGCTTTAATGACATGCAATTTTGCAACGTAGCTCTGCCCGGAGTCCTTGGGGCTGGAAACTATATAAACGGACCGCTTATAATTGGCTAGGCTAGCTGGAAGATTTTTAACCAAGCACAATGTTGTTCCGCGCGATTCGAACGATCTCCTTTGCGCTCGCTGTTGTTGCCCTCGTCGCTGCGGATTATCAGCTTCGTAAGTCATTATAATCTTTTTTTTGTTTCTTCTTTTCTTCGTTACAGATATTTACATTTTTAGATCTTCATTACTTTATTTTTCATTGACAGAACGATTTTATTTTGTTCTTTTGAACGAGGAGAGACGTTTCATGAGGAAGACAGTTTTAGGGTTGTTTAGGAAATTCTTTTCTTCATTACAGAGCTACATTTTTAGATTTTCATACTTTATTTTTCATTGACAGATTTTTACTGTTCTTTTGAATGAGAGATGTTTGATGAGGAAGACAGTTTTAGGGGTTTTAGGGTTGTTTAGGGAATTCTTTTCTTCGTTACAGAGCTACATTTTTAGACTTTCATACTTTATTTTTCATTGACAGAATTTTGGTGTACTTTTGAATGAGAGACGTTTGATGACGAAGAGACTTTTAGGGGTTTTAGGGTTGTTTAGGGAATAATTGATGAAAGAATTATTGAGACAGGATAAGATAGGACTATTTGTTGGGATTCTTTATTTTTATTTAAGTCGTAAGTGATTTTAGTGATGGTAGTCTTATGAATTTTAATTCTGTTGTCAAGGGTTAAAAGAATTTTAAATTAAAGATAATAGTGATAGATACATTTGTATATTTTAATTCAGACAAAATTTAAAATTCCTTTTGTATTTTACTTTGGACAAAATTTTAGACATAACTTCATATTTTAACTTGGTAAAAATTAAAGATTAATTTTAATGATGAGGGAGTCTTCTGTTAAAAATACATTTTCTTAAAAGTAAAAGAAATATCTCAAATAAAAAATACAGAGATAAAATAACAATTATTGACTCACAAAATTTGACTGAATATCTCATTCATTTATATAAATAATTTTACATATAATATCTGAAGAATTTTATAAACGAAACTCGATTTTCCTTGGAGAGACTAAAATTACAAAAGTAATAAATAACAATAAAATTAAACAGAGGCACTGAAGTCAATTACAGCATTTCTCCTTCATCATATATAATTAACAAAGAATTTTGCAAACAGTAGCGAAAAAAGTGCAACAAGAAGTCCATTACAGTAAACCAATTTCTGAGGTTACAAAGTATGAAATTCCTAAGTGGAACATAAGTAAAAACAGTTATTAACTTCTCCTTACTACTCAATTACGAGTAAAAGTTTCTGTTATTGCTTCTAGTGAACCAGTGAGTTAGAAAGTTGGCATAAGAAGCTTGTATGTGGTTGTAAGTTAAATTTCAGCGAAATCTGAAGACCGCCATTCACTACGAGCTTTCATTTTTCATTTATGTTCATCCTTAGTTCGCTTGAGTGCATTTGAACGAATGGATTACAAGGATAATCATTTATTTATGGTTAATAAAGTACTAGTAATTATAGGTATTCATAAAAATGTAGTATATTCATTTATGGCAAATTGAATTTTAAGTAAAATGTCATTGTAGGTATGTAGTGAAGGGTTTGAGCTAACAAATTTATTGAGTATGAACAATTGTGGTATCAAACTTATTTACAGTAAATAAATTTAATGTTAAAATTTATTTAGAAAGAGTAAATTGTGCTTTCAGATGCAGTCATAATAAATAAATTGTGACATCAAAATTTACAGTAAATAAATTGTAACATCAAATTTATATACAAGGAGCAAATTGTGCTTTCTGATTGAATCCTAATAAATAAATTGTGACATCAAATTTATAAATTGTAACAAATTTATTTTTATTAAATAAATGATCCAAAATTTATTTATAGTGTATTTAATAATATTTCAAGTTTATAAATATGAAATTAAATAACTGAGTTTATTTTTTCAGCTGCGGGTGTAAAAACCTGCAAAAGGGATTCCGACGATTTCGCATCCTGTCTGCGTCTCGCCATTCAAGAAGCATGGCCGATATTTATGCAAGGTACGTGCTCGTCAATCTCCTTTTATCGCCGAAACACGGTGCTTTGTAAACAAACAGTGTATTATACGATGTCTGTTTGCAAACCGAGTCACAGTCCAATAAGCACAATTTTTTCCCCTTAAACTTGTTTCGAACTCGTCCTTGCAACGATCCTTTTTCCATTTCTCTCCTGAATCACATTAAATCATATTGCATAAAACTTGATAATGTCTCGTTCGAAGAGTTCGCAACACGTTCACCGTTTGTTAATGACCCTTTTTTATCGGTATGTTTGTCTGCTTATGTAAAATCGTTTCCTTTTGCATGATATCACGATGGCATTCTTTTTGGCACCTACGTTTGTAAATATTACGTCGTTCCTTAATTTGCCGTTGCATATAAACATTCGCCGTTCACTTCGCGAATAGTTGCTTTTTTTCGATATTGCCCAGACATTCGAATGTTTTCGAAACACCGATGACGTGTTCCGAATACTAGTTCTTTAAATCATTTTTTAACGTTTATGTCTATAGCTGTTTTTCTATTAAAAATAACTACATAAATTAGACTTACATAAATACATAATCATGTGTCTCTAATAATTTTTTTATATATGGGACGCACCGAGTGCATGTTATTTTGGTGGACGCACCAGGTGCGTCATTTTATTTAGTGGACGCACCAGGTTTTGTCATGTTATTTAGTGTACGCACTAGGTGCGTTATACTACTTTGATGGACGCACCAGGTGTGTCATATTACTTTGGTGGACGCATCAGGTGCGTCATATTATTTAGTAGACGCATCAGGTTTTGTCATGTTATTTAGTGTACGCACTGGGTGCGTCATATTACTTTGATGGACGCACCAGGTGTGTCATATTACTTTGGTGGACGCATCAGGTGCGTCATATTATTTAGTAGACGCATCAGGTTTTGTCATGTTATTTAGTGTACGCACTAGGTGCGTTATACTACTTTGATGGACGCACCAGGTGTGTCATATTACTTTGGTGGACGCATCAGGTGCGTCATATTATTTAGTGGACGCATCAGGTGCGTCACGTTACTTAGTGGACGCACCAGGTACGTCATATTATTAAAGTGGACGCACTAGGTGCGTCATATTACTTTGGTGGACGCACCAGGTGCGTCAACTGTGACATAGAATAAATATTACGTTTGCATTGTGAAAAACAGTTCATATATTTATTATGAAAGACAATACGATATAAAATAAATAATAAATAATTTTTTGTATCTTCCAACCATATATATTTGAAAAATATTCAAGCTTCACATTTTGTAATATTTTATTATTTTTCATTAAAGTGAATGTAATTAATAGAAATAAATATATAAATAATACAAGATGAACTAAAATATTTGTAGTGTATAATATTTAAACGGAAGTGTCTTAATAGTTTTTATTTAAAATAAAAATCTAAAACACGTTATTTTGACGACTCCGCTCGTGCCAGTGTCACATATTGACTTTCGCATATAATTATGAACGGAGACTAGATATTTACTCATCACGAGTGTTTTTTTATTTGATCTCCACTTTCAGTTATTCTGGATTCTTTGAATTTTTATCTGGGACCTTCTGTTCTTTTGTTTTTACTTTTTTGTTCGACTGATGTTTGTTCCTGTGTTTACTGCTTCTGTTTTTCAATGGCTTTTCAAATTTTGCCGCCTTTTTTCTGTCATTTTTGACTTCAGTTATATTCAGTTTTATAGCTTGTACATTCTTGTAAAAATTATATTTATTTTATTCTTTAATTATTGTTGCTTTTCGTAATAGCAATTTTTGTTACCACTAGTGCGTTCAAATTTTCGCGCCCTTTTTCAAATAATAACCTAAGTTAAATTTTACACTTTATTAACTTTTTATTCGTGAATTTTTGTGTGAAAAGGGTTACCAGATTTCGATATACCCCTGATGGACCCTTATTACATGGAATCTAACACGTTCGAGTACACTTTTGGAAAAATGCAAGGAAGATTGGCGAGCTCCGACGTTCGAACGTACGGTCTCTCGAAAGCTCGCTTCTTATCCGTGAAACCGGAAATGAACGACGATTTCTTCCGGCTGGAAATCGATCTTGAATTGCCGAAGATTTTCATTGATGGCGACTATGATGCTCAAGGTTCTCTGGATGCCTTCAAAATTGGTGGAAAAGGTATTACATCAATATTTTATTTTTTAATATAACTTCTCATTACAACTATAATAAGTCTTCTTAAGAAATATTAATAAAATAATAATATTAAACTTCTCTGATCTTGAAAATTTGTAAATGTAAAATTTTTCGGTTTGAAATTACCGCCTTTAATGGCGGTGCCGGTCAGGTTCCATTAAAGACGCGATCATTTAAGCGTGAAAGAGCTCGTGAATACTAATTTCCGCGTTAAATATCATGTTACGCATGAGTAGATGTTCAATTTGTCGAATATTTCATTTGCAGGGTACTTTAATATTAGTATGGACGACGTGAGATGTATTTGGGACATCACGGGACACGTGAAAGACGATAGATGGGTCATCGAGCACTTCAAAATGGTTCCAACAGTAGGAAACATGAGAATCTGGTTTAGCGACCTCTTCAATGGAAACGAGGAATTGAGTAAGTCCAATTTATTTAATTTTAAATTATTATCGATGTTCAATTTCATTTTTATTAGTTGAGACGCATCGGGTGCGTCATTACCTTCTCATTTAGCTGAACGCACCAGGTGCGTCAATTGTAATACAGAATAAATATTTGCATTATGAAAAATTGTTTATATAGTCGTAAAAGACAATAATATATAATATAAAGAACGAACAATTAGTAATAATTCAGTGAACAATAAGTAATTATCAGTAGAGTCCTCAACAAGACGCACCAGGTGCGTCAATTGTGATACAGAATATTTGCATTATGAAAAATTTTTTATATAGTCATAAAAGACAATAATATATAATATAAATAATGAACAATTAGTAATAATTGAGTGAACAATAAGCAATTATTACTAGAGTCCTCAGTAAGACGCACCAGGTGTGTCATCAGATGCACACAGCATTACGTGTACATTTTAAAAACACGAAATAAAAAGCTGTTATAAAAGAGGATATGGTAGATTATAGAACGTGAACAGTAATTTTTTCTTCAAGTTCTTTGCCTGACACACCTTGTGAGTCATTAGGTGAACCGAAAAAATGCTACAAACATAGTGATGGAAAATCATTCGATGAAATATAAAAACGTACCTTGTGCGTCATTAGACAATTAAACAGATATTGCGTATAAGAAGTGTCAGTAAAAGAGACGCATCTTGTGCGTCATTGCGTATGAAGAATAAATATTACTTGTTTGCCTTGATAAATGTTTCTAAGAATTATTGTAAAAAACGATGGGATATGCTATAAAATATGAATAGTAGTTTGTTAATTTTTTTTGGAGTATTTGAAGGTGGTGTACTTTATAGGACGCACCAGGTGCGTCATTAGATATTGAAATATTATGAAGAAGAAAAAAGTGATTCTACAATAGATATTGATATAATATAGTATAAGATATAAATGGTAATTTTTTAACTTTTGAGTACTTGAATGTGGGACGCACCAGGTGTGTCAGTGCCTTGTAGGTCGCACCAGGTGTGTCATGAACAATCGAATTTGTACTACGAAGTAAAAGATGATTTGAAGGATTATTTTAAATGTTGATACATCATAACATAAAGCACATACAATAATTTATTAATCTTTCTTCAGTACTAGAACATGGTATGTCTTGCACGACGCACCAGGTGCGTCACTAGGTGTCGAATAGTATTACACAGAAGTTGTTACGGATAGAACTGGCCAATTGAGGCATTTCAGAGCATGGGATGAGAATTTAAAGATAAACATAAGATTTAATGAATTTAGCGGGGTTTTCGGGGACGACTGGTCAAAAGCAGCAGGCATGGCGAGTTTCCATGCCTCGAAGCCCTACGTGCACGGGGAAACCTGTGGCCGTATTCGTCGAACACCATGAGTGTCTCGGCATGAAAAACACCATCGTAGCACCGGGGGTAACCAATCCGCCCGGGAGTGGTGGTGCTCACCAAAACACCGAGGGCCACTCCGCTCGGGAGAGGTGAGAACCCGGGCGGGGGCGAGCTTGCTTGCCCTGCGCTCCGGCTAGCTGTCTGCGGGATCGGTCGCACTCGAAGACGATAGATAATTAATTTTTCTAAGAAATGTACACGTGCGTGGTGCACGTGGCAATGGCACGTGGCAAAAGTGGCACGTGGCACATGCTCTGAAATTCCGAGAAAAATGCCAATTAATAAGTATTTGATCCACCGCGAAATGCCGGCGAACCCAGGTGCG